AGATCAGGCCACTTGTCTGCTGAAAGCTCTCCAATGGCATTACTCTCTTAAGAGTCAAATTCAGGCTCCTTTCCATGCCCTGGGACCCTACAGAATCTGCACTCCACCTGGCTCTGACCTAATCATGTACCATGCCCCCTTGCTCACTTTGATGCAGCCATATTGGTCTTCTTTCTGTTGCCTGAACACCCTGGACACCTTCTCATTTTAGAGTCCTTGTGTTTGCTTTTCCCTCTTGGAATCCTCTGCCCCAAATGTGCTTATTGACAGCATCTTTGTACTGTTCAAGACTCAGCTTACAAGGCGCCTCTCTGGGGAGGTCTTTTCTGACTAGCTAGCCTAAGGTAGCCTTCATCAGTTACTCTTTAAATACCCTGCTTCATTTTGCCACTATCTGAAATGTACTAGTCCATTCATTCATTAATGTAACAAAATGCCTGTCTCATACTGCCCCCAAACTTAACTATCTTTTTTCTTTTTTTTCTTTTTAAATGTTTTATTTATTTATTCATGAGAGTCAGAGAGAGAGAGAGAGAGAGGCAGAGGGAGAAGCAGGCTTCCCGCCTAGCGGGAAACCCGATGTGGGAATCTATCCCAGAACCCTGGGATCATGACCTGAGCCGAAGGCAGACGCTTAACCATCTGAGCCACCCAGGCGCCCCCAAACTTAACTATCTTAAACTATCTGCTTACCTACTGAAAGGAGAGAGTGAGCCTTGCATTTCTGCACTTGTATAATTTCTCTTTCAACCTATTTTGTTTATTAATCACATAGTTTACATTAGTTTTGTGCCTGTTGTAATTCTGGGATAATTTGCTTCAGAGGAAAGAAAAGTTACAATTTCAGAGTAAAGGGCAGATGACCCAGAGTTTTAAGTATAAAGTCCCTGACCTCAAACAAGATGGTGATCTCCACAGCTAAGAATCAGACCTGACTATTAGTAGTAAATGAAAAAAAGGAAGTCACTTTTTATGCACAGATTTTAGGACAAGAACTTACAGGAAATGCCAAACTGGAGCAAGCCAATGGCTCACACAACCACCACAGTGTTCGGTCTTTGATGGTCGCTCTCAAGGAAGTTTATGGGTCTGATAATTATCTCTCTGGATGTCAGTCTGAGACTAAAATGTCCTACCATTAGCTCTTTAGTTTAATATCATATGCTCTTCCCTCTGTCTCTTCTTTTCTAGATAGAGCTGTTCAATTAACTGGTAAACTTACCAATTTTCTCAAAAAGGAAGGAATCCAAGAAAGAAAATTTGATTGTCATTAAACTCAATATATATCAAGGTGTAAATGGCACTTAGAAATACTCATGTGCTTTTTCTCA